TGTCGGCTTCAAGAAGTGGGCCTCTGTGCCTTGCCATTTGGCCTCCTTAACAGAGTGTGCAGATCCTTCTCTTCCTTTGTTTCTGACCTCTAGGCACAGATTAAAATGGATCATGTAGTTAGTTCACTTCCACCTGGGTAATCTGCCTTTCCATTGACCATGAGTCAGCTGATCAGTGCCTTTACATCAGCAAAGTCCCCTTGTAATGTGACATAACAGTCCCGGGAAGAGTGGTTCCACCCTCACTCAGGGGTGAGAGTTATCTGTGGTTTGTTCACCAGGGCCATCATACATCCTAATGCAACTATAGGATTTAACCTTCTTGGAGCTAGGGAGTAGGGAGAGACAGAGGACAAATGTAAATAGTTCATGAGCTTACTTTATATAGCAAGGTGACAAGTGCTGTCAGAAAATAGAATGGAATGAGATGGGGGGTGGGAGGGTGCAGTTTTAAATAGAGTGGTCTGGAAGGACTAATGGAGGTGACATTGGAGCAAAGATTTGGAGGAGGTAAGAAAAGAGTCCTGCTGATGTCTCAGGAAGAACCTTCTAGGCTAAGGGAATGAACACTGCAAAGGCATGAGGCAAGAGCAGGCCTGATGTGTTAAAGGACCATCCAGAAGCTGTTGGGAGAACAGCTCACTGCAGGCCTTCAGCATCCACTGCTGAAGAATGCAAGGTCCTGTCCACTGTCTACCTGGGCTGTTTCTCAGGACTGTGTTTGCTGAGAGCAACTTTCAAAGATGAGGTGACATCTCCCTGAAGACAGCAGCCTTGCTTCCTTCTCACTGTGAAAGCAGTAGCTTCCCTGCCCTCGGTGTGATGAAGTCCACCCCATGTACCGGTGTCCATCTAGACCCACCTGTGTTGGTTCTGTGGGATTTCAGTGACATAGAGAACCAGTGTTAATATGAAGCTCTGGCTACTGCTTTTGCCAGACATAATAACGTCCTTTGTTTCTTACCTGGGAGTCTCATGACTTCTGCCAGCATTTGTGAAGTAGAAAGCAGCCAGTTAGTAGGGTAGAATCTCAGATTCTTCATAGAACCCTCCCTGATGTCATTGTGAGTAGAGCATAATGATCAAGAAGAAAATAGGAGATTTGTTTTTTATTCTTTATTCTGATAGTGTGTACTCCCCAGATTTTTGGTATTAAAATGCCTTTATTTTGCGGAATGATAGTGATAGTAGATGATATTTCATCAAATGATTGAAATAGGCATCATTGCATGCTAATGCAAAAGAAAAAATTCTTACAGATGCTGACACAGTGCTTTCTCCTCATTTATGATTTTTATATGTATAGACAGACCTCTTTTTAGATTTACTTAAACATAGTTTTATATTACTATTGTGCATATAGAAACAAGAAAATGTAAGTGAATAAAATTGGCTAATGTATTTTTTAATGTATTCTAAAAATTATGCAGGAGCAAGCATTTGGCCTAGCAGTTAAGATGTTGGCTCAGGCACCCACAGCAGATATCAGAGTGCCTGGATTCAATACCCACCTCCAGTTCCCGACTCCAACTTCTTGCCAGTGCCTGCCCTGGAGAGCAGAAGACTATGTAGGAGATCTGGACTGAGTGTCCAGCTCCTGACTTCTGTGGGTATTTAAGGAGTGAACCAAGGGATGGAATCTTTCTTCCTTTGTCTGTCTTTGTCTCTCAAATTTTTTTTAATTTTTAAGAAGTTTTTAAAAATTATGCACACAGTGAAAACATTAAGACTGCTGGCCCTACAGCAATTGATAAGAAGATTCTAACGTCTGTAAGACACAAACTTGATTTTTCAAGAGTGTGTTTTAGAGTTGATAATTATAGCAACAGTTAATGTATGTTGGGACTTGGCTAATAAAGATTGCAGCCCTAATATATTTTTTAAAGATTTATTTGAAAGGCAGAGTTACAGAGAGGCAGAGGCAGAAAGGGAGAGAAGTCTTCTATTTGCTAGTTCACTGCCCAAATGGCTGCTGTTGCTGTGCTGATCTGAAGCCAGGAGCCAGGAGATTCTTCTGGCCACAGACCCAACCCCACAACCCTAATATTATTGCCCCTTAATTGTTTTTGCAAGGTCTATGATCCATGAGCTTTATAAGTCTAGAAACTCTTTATTTCCCTGTCACTCTTTCAAATAAATATTAAACAACAAAAAAAGGCAATTTTAACACTGATAACACTGATTAATGGGGAAAAAGGATATGCTTATATTAGAGCCAATTAATGCTCATTTGCCTGAATAGTCTGAGATGGTCCAACCATGATAATCCTGAACCTGTACGTTTCTTTCACCAAAAGCCAGTGTAGTGTAAGGCTGAGTCCAATGGAGGTTAGTGGAAAGGAAATGAAGTGGACCCCTCAGTTTCCTTATTCTGATTCCCCCCTGGTTTTGAAGTTGCCATCCCTTCCTTGCCTTCGTAGTTCTTTCAATGACTGAGTTACAACAAAAGTCAATTCTTAAAGTAGTATGGTGCTGAGGATAACTGATCTCCAGATGTGAGGGTATATTGGGGAGCATCTTCTTAGGAGCCTTCTTAGATCTCCAGTCAGACTTATCACTCACCCTTCCTTCCTTCCTTCTTTCCTTCCTTCCTTCCTTCTTCCTTCCTTCCCTCCCTCCCTCTCTCTCTCTCTCTCCCTCTCTCTCTCTCTCTCTTTCTTTCTTTCACCTATTTATTTATTTGAAAGGCAGAGTTACAGAGAGAGGGAGAGACAGAGAGTGATCTTCCATCTGCTGTTTCATTACCCAAATTGCCACAATGGCCAGGGTTGGGTCAGGCCCAAACCAGGAGCATCTTCTGGGTCTCCCATGTGTGTAGCAGGGACCCAAGCACTTGGGCCATCTTCCACTGCTTTCCCAGGCACATTAATGTGGAGCAAAGGTTGGAAATGGAGCAGCCAGAACAAACCAGCACCCATATGAGTGCATGCATCACTGGCAGCATCTTAACCCACTGAACCACAACACCTGCCCCCTGTCACTTTCTATATGCTCTCTACACCCTGAAGCCCACAGACGTCCAATCCAGCACTGGTCACACAATGTGGAATGCCTCCCCAACTAGACAGAGCAGGAGGACAGCTTATTTGCTCTGTATCCCTAACAGCATTTCTTACTGATCACATGTCCTTGATAAAAGTGTGTTGTTGAATAAATGGATTACTCCTTAAGAAGGGAGATGAGGGCCGGCGCCGCGGCTCACTAGGCTAATCCTCCGCCTAGCGGCGCCGGCACACCGGGTTCTAGTCCCGGTTGGGGCACCGGATTCTGTCCCGGTTGCCCCTCTTCCAGGCCAGCTCTCTGCTGTGGCCAGGGAGTGCAGTGGAGGATGGCCCAGGTGCTTGGGCCCTGCACCCCATGGGAGACCAGGAAAAGCACCTGGCTCCTGGCTCCTGCCACCGGATAAGCGCGGTGCACCGGCCGCAGCGCGCCGGCCGCGGCGGCCATTGGAGGGTGAACCAACGGCAAAGGAAGACCTTTCTCTCTGTCTCTCTCTCTCACTGTCCACTCTGCCTGTCAAAAAAAAAAAAAAAAAAAGAAGGGAGATGAGGGGGGCAGGCATTTGGCACAGCAGTTAAGCAGCTGCCTGGGACACCTGTAGGAATAATATGAGTGTTTAAATTTTTAAAAAATTTTTACATATTTGAAAGAGTGACACAAAGAGAGACGCAGAGAGATCTTTTATCCACTGGTTCATTCCCCAAATGCCCATAACACACAGAGCTGCCCCTGGCTGAAGCCAAGAGCCAGGAAAACATCTGAATCTTCCTGGTCTCCCCGGTGGATGGCAGAGATCTCAAGTACATGAGCCACTATCTGCTGCATCCCAGGAGTATTACAGGAAGCTGGATTGGAAGCAGAATAGTCAGGATGTAACGGGGCACCCAATGAGATGCTCATGTCCCGAGCAATGACTTCATCTGCTATGCCAGAACTCCCGTCCCCATACATACAAACAAATTTAACAGATAAAAACACAATAAGTTTGTCAAACTTTTGATGCAAGACCAAAGCCTTGAGTTCATGGACTAGAGTTCTGAATATTCTTTCTTATGTAAGCTCTGCCTCTTATTTAGAATTTTGTTTCCTTTCTTTAGTGTAGAATAAGAGTTTCTGAATAATCTGTATTCACAATCCTCTTAGAGCTTTTCTAACTATATTTTACTTGTCTCATCCAACATTTAGGTAAATGAAATTTTTTTCTTTAGTCAATTTTTCTGAGTCCTCCAAAACATTCAATGTGGTCTTCTACAGATATAATCCTCTTTCTTTTTCTATTCCTACTATATCAGTCTATAAAATAGTTACAATGACAAACATAAATGGCATAAGAAGATTTGGGGAAAACACAAGGGTCTCGGTAAGCATCAGTGTGATTGGTGGGAACAGAAATGTGTAGAAAAATGGAGAGCCCAGAAGCCACTAGTGATGACCTTGAGCGGGCAACACTACAGGAGAGCATCCAGGAATCTACTGAGTAGGTTAGGAGAAGTACACCAGAAAGAACAGTTGTACTCAACAACATGTTTGAATAAATGCACATGTTCATACCCCAACATAAGAAGGGGCTCTTAATCTTGGGGTACTGGGAGAGATTCACAGCTGCTATTTTTCCAGCAGATTTCTAATCCTTATAGTAATGTATTAATCATAATAGCTCTCACCACACTCTCATGTGTAGGCAATATTCTATGGATCTGACATGGATGAACTCATTTGATCTTTCCAGCCATCCTAGTAGGATGTTTCTGAATTATTTGCATTTTACAGATGAGGTACTGAGACACAAAGAAAGTGACTTGCCCAGAGTTACAGAGCTAAGAAATGTTCACTGGTCAAGTGGGCGTAGAACCCAGTCTGTTTTGACTCCACAGCCAGAGTTGTGATCTATTGTATACAGTATTATTTTCTGTTACATTCTCCACCTTTTGGAACTTGGCAAGCAAATGATTGTTAAATATCTGAACCCCTCCAGCACCAAATGATGCCTTTTCTTACAGAAAAAGGTCGGCTGTTTATTGTCATGCAATACTGTGATGGAGGGGATATCATGAGAAGGATCAGCAGACAGCGGGGAGTGTTACTTAGTGAAGATCAGGTAAAATCGTTTCTAATTTGCCGTTTAATCTATATGTGGAGAGGAAGGATTACATTTAAAATGTCATAAGTTTGTATGAAACATGAACGAGTGGATCAATATTCTTGGTAAATTCAGGAGCGTGGCAGCCGCGGCGTCTGACCTGAGTCCTCTGCGCGGAGCAAGTGGCGGCGGCGCGGGCCTGGCGCCCGGCAGCGGGCGGACAGGTAGGTGGCGGCTGCCGGGCCCCATACGGCCTGGGGCTGGGGAAGGGGGCCATGAGCCCTCCCGGGAACTTCACCTGGGTCCTGCGCGGGCGGGTGGGGCGCGGGCTCCCCGCTCCGCCTCCGAGACACTTCCTGACCCCTGTGGCTTCCCGCGGGCCCCTGTCCTCGGCTCTGCGCCCATGCTGGGCGACCCGCCTGGTGCCCCGGGTGTCTCGGGCTGGGTTAGAGACAGGGCCCCCGACAGCTGGGGCACCCCCCCAGAGCAGCCCGTCGGGTGCTGGGGGCTGTGCCCTGGTCTCCCCCGGGGGCTGCGCCCTGACTGCAAGGTGGCTGCACGGCGGCCGCTTGGGCGGGAGGGCGGCTGGGTAAAGCGGAGCCCCCAGCCATGGCCAGGCCCCCGGACGAGATGTCACCCCTAGCCCTGCCCCGCCCATGCCTGGCCTGCCTGCCACGGCGAAGCGTGGAAACACCGTCGCAGAAGCTGGTCAGCATGCAGGCCCCACATCTCAGCTCCTTGCTAACGCGCCTCAGTGCTCGGGCCCCGCCCTACTGTGGGAGACCAGGCTGGAGCTTCTGGAGTTGCCCTGTGCCTGCCAGGCCACTGCAGGTACCTGGGGTGAGCCAGCAGGTGATCTGGGCAGAGAAAGAGAGAGGTCGTCTGCACGCGGCTTCACTCCCCAGGGGACTGTAACCCCCAGGGCTGGGCTGCGCTGAAGCCAGGAACTCCATGGGGGCTCCCAGGTGGGCGCGGGCCCTGGCACTTGGGCGGTCTTCCACTGCGTTCCAGGCCATCAGCCGGGACTCCATGTGGGCTGTGGCTTAACCCTGTCCCCAAGTAAATCTTCCTTTTAAAAATGCAGTGCCCTCCCACGCCCCCCCCCCCAGAGGCTGGGCTCCCTGCACCTTGCCCACCCCCTGTCCCCAGCTGCTCTGTGCCTACCTGAGCCCGCTGGCCAGGCTAGGTCCAGCGGCCCCGGCCGTCCACTCAGCACCACCGTGAGCTCCTGCTGCTGGCCCCGTCCCTACCCCGTCCCAGGTGTCCAGGCCGGTGATGCCCTGGTCTCTGGCAGCCTTGCTACAACGCCAGCAACCCTCATGGCAACCAGTTCAGGTCCCCGCTGCTCTACTTCCGATCCTGCTCCCTGCTGGTGGGCTTGGGAAGGTGGTGGCGGACGGCCCAAGCATGTGGCCCTGCCATCCATGGGGGAGACCCGGATCGAGTTGTCCAGGCTCCTGGTGTCAGCTGCTGGGGAGTGAACAGCGTTTAGAAGATCTTTCTCTGTCACCCCTCATCCTCTCCTTGTAGCTCTGCCTTTAAGGAAATAAAAATTAGAGTTCAGTAATGCTGTGGCACAGCGGGTAAAGCCCTGCCTGCAGTGCCGGCAGCCCATGTGGGCGCCAGTTCCAGTCCTGGCTGCTCCACTTCTGATCCAGCTCTCTGCTATGGCCTGGGAAGGCTGTGGAAGATGGCCCAAGTCCTTGGACCCCTGGACCCATGTGGGAGACCCGGAGGAAGCTCCTGGGTCTTGGCTTCAGATTGGCCCAGCTCTGGCCGTTGCAGTCAATTGAGGAGCAAACCAGCAAATGGAAGACCTCTTTCTCCCTCTCCCTTTCCCTTTCCCTGCTCCCCCGCCCCTGCCTCTCCTTTCTCTGTGTAACTCTGACTTTCAAACAAATAAATCTTAAAAAAAAAATTCTTGGTAAATTCAGACCAAAACATGTTTGCAATTGAACTTGAACTCTACCTTTTCTGAGCAATGAGATCTTCTTGAGAAAAGATAGTCTTTTTGGACAGTCTTACTTAGGATGCCGCTGAGATAAATCTTCCTGGCTTAAAAAGCATCTGACTGTGGATGCTCCTTAGCTATTTGAAATGTGACATATTTATAGCTTCACTCTTTCCTTTTATCATTTGGCATTCTGTTTTAAAATAGCTATCCTACTCTGCTAGGGAAGACGGAAGATCTTAGCAATGTCTATTTAGTATATCTTGATAAAGACAGAATTTTCTTGGTTTTTTTTTAGTTTTTAAATTTTTTAAAATATACAAATTTCATGTATTTCATATATATAGATTCAGGAATAGAGTGCTACTTCCCACCCTACGCTCCCTCCCACCCATGCTCCCATACTGCTTTCTCCACCCTCTCCTATTCCCACTCTTGATTTTTACGAAGATCTATTTTCAGCTTAATTTATACTCACAAGATTAACTCTCCACTAAGTAAAGAATTCAACAAGTAGTATGAAGAAAAAAACTGAAGAAAAAATTAAATGGGGTGGTGTGGGGAGCAACTCGGACTAGACTAAGTTACTGCCATTAAGACTTATTCTATGCATCTGCTCTCCCACAATATGGCGCTGGGAGAGGAGTAAACAACTTCTACACAGCTGCCTCTCGCCTATTTGACTGAGCTGCAGGAGCTGATCTTGCTCCTGATTGGAGGAGAGCAGCGTACTCGGCGTGTGGGTAGCAGAGTTGGGATTGGTGGAAGAGGACTATAAAGGAGGAGAGAGACAACATGCACCAGGAACATCTAAAAGGAACATCCGGATAACATCTGAGCAGCCCCCGAGAGAGCCGGCCGGCAGTGTGCCGCTCCCCCGCGGAAGTGGGGAAAGTGGCAGGGGGAACCGCCCCTCCACAGAGGTGGAGGGGTTGCCAGCCAACCCAGGAAGGGCCAAGCAGCAGAAAGAACAGCGCAGGGTCCTGTGTCGTTCCTCTGTGAATGGGGGAGCGACAGGGTGGTGCATACCATGTTTTGGAAATGATCACTATAAAAGACAATTGGAATATTGAATGAGTACAAGGATTCTTCACTAAATATAGTAATTCAAATTTGAAACATATTTGAACCAGTAATTCAAATTACATGATTCCTTTTTTCAATAATTAAGGAATATATCTTTTTCTTTTGTCTGTGTTTTTCAAATTCTCAAATGGGTATGTGTATTTTATAACTCAAGTGTGTTTTCTTCACTTATAATCAAATGAATTATCAATATATTTTTGGTGAATTTATCTGATCATCCATTATTAATAAAACTTGCTTTTGTTATTTGACTAGATGATATCATTTAAAGTCTGATATGATTTTGATATGCTTTATCCCCATCAAGACTCATGCAGAAATTCGATTCCCAATGTAGTGGCAATGGGAAGTGGGGACCTTGAATTTTGACTAGGTTGTTAAGGCTGAACCACCAAGAATGGATTGATAGAGTCATTAGATTTCTCACTCTTAACAGAACTAAATTAGTTACTGCACTGCAAATTGCTATGAAGGAAGCCTGGTGCCTTCCCTCACTCTCTTGAATATTTGCTCCTCCTGCACACATCTATTTGTTCTTCTAATTTCTACCAGGATTTAAAGCAGCATTTGACCCTCACCAGATGTGGCTGCCTAATTTTAGATTTTCATATCTTCAGTACCCTAAACCAAAATAAAAATCTTCTCTTTATAAATTACCCAGTCTCATACATTCTATTGCAACATCATAAAATGGATTAAGATGCTCTTACACAGATGTATGCCCATTACTTATCAAAAATTAATACAATATCTTTACCTTTCAGTTCTCTTTGGTTTTCATAAAATTAACTCTTACCAGTCAAATGCATATCTGTGTTAGAAATATGGAGCTAATTAAAATTATAGAGACAATGAAATGCCAAGCTGACCCTGTCATTATTATTTGTCATACCAGAAACAAAATGAATAGAATGATTTATAATATGTGATTTGATAAACCATACATGCTTGCATATATAAATATCTCTTATGAAAATATATGAAATATGATTTGAGTTGTAGAATCATTAAAGCTAAAGACAGATACAAACACCATTGCATTTTCTATATTGCCCTACTTTCTAATAAATTGAAAATGTTTTCTTTTTAAAAACCACAATTAACCATGTGCCTTTTTTTCCCAAGATAATGCAGAAAACCTGTATTGTGTTTATCATTGCCAATTTCTCTAATAAATTTGAAACCAGTAAATGTGAATTTAAGTGATAATAAATAAAACTTGTGTTTTAACTATGCTAGAATGCAAAAATAGGTATAAAGCAATGGTTTCGATATTGCTATTGTATCTGCTATCTACAAAAATAACATATTGCTAAGTTAGACTTTCATGGAAGCTGTGGATACTGATCTGCTAGTTTTTTCTTTTTTTAACTTTTATTTAATGAATATAAATTTCCGAAGTACAGCTAATGGATTACAATGGCTTCCCCCCCCATAATTTCCCTCCCACCCGCGACCCTCCCCTCTCCCCTTCCATTCACATCAAGATTCATTTTCAATTATCTTTATATATAGAAGATCAGTTTAGTATATATTAAGTAAAGATTTCAACAGTTTGCACCCACACAGAAACACAAAGTGTAAAATACTGTTTCAGTACTAGTTATAGCATTAAATCACAATGTACAGCACATTTAGGACAGAGATCCTACATGAGGAGTAAGTGCACAGTGACTCCTGTTATTGACTTAACAAATTGACACTCTTGTTTATGGCGTCAGTAATCACCCTAGGCTCTGTCATGAGTTGCCAAGGCTATGGAGGCCTTTTGAGTTCACCGACTCTGATCTTATTTAGACAAGGTCATAGTCAAAGTGGAAGTTCTCTCTTCCCTTCAGAGAAAGGTACCTCCTTCTTTGATGGCCCGTTCTTTCCACTGGGATCTCACTCACAGAGATCTTTCATATAGGGTTGTTTTTTTTTCCAGAGTGTCTTGGCTTTCCATGCCTAAAATACTCTCATGGGCTCTTCAGCCAGATCTGAAGATCTGCTAGTTTTTTCAACACAGAACTGACAACAAGCCTATCCCATAGAATGATAAAAGCCTAATGCAATTAGAATATCTAATCTCCTCAGGCCAGCTCTCTGCTGTGGCCCGGGAGTGCAGTGGAGGATGGCCCAAGTGCTTGGGCCCTGCACCCCATGGGAGACCAGGATAAGTACCTGGCTCCTGGCTTCGGATCAGTGTGGTGCGCTGGCCGCAGCACGCTGGCCGCGGTGGCCATTGGAGGGTGAACCAATGACAAAGGAAGACCTTTCTCTCTGTCTCTCTCTCTCACTGTCCACTCTGCCTGTCAAAAAAAATTAAAAAATTAAAAAAAATTAAAGAATATCTAATCTCCTAGTAATCACATATTCTTTCCTTGAAGCTTTGCCAGTGTTTCCTCTGAGAACAATGTTCAAACTTGTCATCACACAACTCAAACCGGCTTACATTCACAGAACTTTAGACACCCACTTTTGCATTAAACAAAAAAAAAATTGTGCTTTAACTCATATGTGTGGGGAGTAATCTGGGTCTCAGGAAGAAATGTGAATCCCTGTGATTTCATTTTCTTGTTTAATGGCTTTGGCTAAAACTTCCAGGACTATATTGAATAGCAGTGGTGAGAGTGGACATCCTTGTCTATTTCTGGATCTCAGTGGGAATGCTTCTAAAGTTCCCCATTCAATAGGATGGTGGCCATAGGTTTTTCATTAATTGCCTTGATTCTGTTGAGGAATATTCCTTCTAAACACAATTTGTTTAGAGTTTTCATCATGAAAGCAAGTTGTATTTTATCAAATGATTTCTCTGCATCCATTGAAATAATAATATGCTCTTCAGTTTGTTGATGTGATGTATTGTCGTTCCTCCACGAAGAGGGGGAGCGACATAATGGTGCCGTGACTCGATAGGAAGCCTAGGAGGGAAGAAGTGGGAAAATACCAGAGAGAGAGAGACTAGCAAAGAGCCTAGGGAAAAGCCGGATGGAAAAGGTGCCAGAAGAAGCTATCAAAAGCCTAGGCATAGACTCTGATATGGACTGTGGGAAAGAAGTTAGGATTGAAAGCTAAAGTGAAAGCTGGAGGAAACATAGACTCGGATGCGGACTATGGCAGGGAAGCTAGGAGATTAAAAGCGAAAGTGAAACCTAGAAGAAACTTAGACTCGGATACAGACTGTGGGGAGAAGCCAGGAGAAATGAGAGGGGAATGTTGTTGGAAGAAAAGTTAGGGAAACATACCGGGTAGAGAAAAATGTTAGGAGGATGAGGCTGTGAGGGCAGGCTGAGGCAGAGATGTAAGCTATGTTGGGATTCGTCAAGTCAGCCTGGGGAGCAAAAGGCGAAAAGCTAGACGCGTAAGCTAGGTTGGAATCCGTCAGATTAGCCCGGGGAGCAAAAGATGGGAAGCCAAACCAAAAGGCACAGACGTAAGCTAGGTTGAATTTGCCAGGTTAGCCCGGGGAACTTAGACTGAATACCGGTGGTAGAAACGTGAGCTAGGCTGTGTGACTCGCGGAAGCCGCTGCGCGCAGAGAGAGCGCGTGGGGCACAAACAGGGAGAGCGCACGGGGCGCGAATAGATAGGGAATGTGGGGCTAGCACAAAGGCTGTGGTGCGGGCGCAAAGGGCGCGGAGACCACGGAGCGCACAGAGCCGGGAAGCCGCCGCGGGGCGAGGCGTCGAGAAGCAGCCTCGGGGCAGGCGCCGGGAAGCTGCGGGGATAAGAGAAATAGAAATTTAGAAGTAAAATGAGAGAAATAGGAATAATGGCAGATAGAAGCAAAATAGGAGAGATAGGAATGCCAGGAGAGAGAGAAATAGAGAAAAATAAGGCCTTCCCACAACATGGCAATGAGAGGGCTTGGATTCGGTCTGCCTGATTAGTAAGATGATAAACACCTGTGGGCAGCTGCAGGTCACCAAAGACAGGCACGTTATCAACACCAATAAGTCTCCCCACAAGACGGCAATGAGAAGGCTTGGATTCGGTTTGCCTGATTGGTAGGGCTTGTAAGCACCTGCAGGCAGTTCTAGCAGAGCAGAGCATGCACTGCAGGGCACCGAACACAGGCACGCATCAGCGCCTAAAAACCTCCTCACAACATGGCGAAGAGAGGACCCGGACTCGGTTTGCCTGATTGGTAGGGCTTGTAAGCACCTGTGGGCAACTCTAGCAAGCAGAGCAGAGTGTGTGCCATGGGGCACCGAAGACAGGCGCGTATCAACGCCAAAAAATAAAAAGAAAGGGGGATCTGTGGGGAGCAACTTGGACTAGACTGTTGCTGGAATTAAGACTTATTCTATGCATCTGCTCTCCCACAATATGGCTCTGGGAGAGGAGGAAACTGCTTCTACACAGCTGCCTCCAGTTCAACCAATAAACAGCAGGACCTGCTCCTGATTGGAGGAGAGCAGCGTACTCGGCGTGTGGGTAGCAGAGTTGGGATTGGTGGAAGAGGACTATAAAGGAGGAGAGAGACAACATGCACCAGGAACATCTAAGAGGAACACCTGTGCAGCCCCCGAGAGAGCCGGCCAGCCGGCGGTGTGCTGCTCCCCTGCGGAAGTGGGGAAAGTGGCAGGGGGAACCGCCCTTCCACGGAGGTGGAAGGGTCAGTAGCCAACCCGGGAAGAACCAGCAGCAAACTCGGGGAGGGCCGAGCAGACAAAAGAACAGCGCAGGGTCCTGTGTCGTTCCTCCATGAAGAAGGGGAGCAACAATGTATCACTTTTATTTGCAAATGTTGAACCATCCCTGCATACCAGAGATAAATCCCATTTGGCCTGGGTGCATACTCGTTCTGAATTGTTGGATTGTTGTTGGATTCTATTTGGCCAGAATTTTGTTGAGGATTTTTGCATCTATGTTCATCAGGGAAATTGGTCTGTAGTTCTCCTTCTCTGTTGTATCTTTTCCTGGTTTAAAAATTAAGGTGATGATGGCTTCATAGAAAGAACTTGGGAGATTCCCTATCTTATAATTGAGAAGAAGAGGAGTTAGTTCTTCTTTAAATGTATGGTAGAATTCAGCAGTGAAGCCATATGTCCTGGGCTTTTCTTTGTTGGGAGGGTCTTTATTACTGACTCGATTTCTGTCTTGACAATGAGTCTGTTTAGGTTTGCTATGTATACATGGCTCAGTTTAGGTAGGCTGTATGTGTCCAGGAATCTATCCATTTCTTCCAGGAATACCAATTTGTTGGCATACAGCTCTTTGTAATAATTTCAGATGATTCTTTTTATTTCTATGGTATTGTTATATTTCCTTTTTCATCTTTTATTTTATTAGTTTTGGCCTTCTCTCTCCTTTTTTTGCTTAGTTGGGCCAATGATGTGTCAATTTTGTTTGTTTCAAAAAACCAACTCTTTATTTTGCTGATCTTTTGTATTTTTTGTTTTATTTGGTTGGTCTCCTCTCTAATGTTAATTATTTTTTTCTCTTGTTAGTTTTGAGTTTGGTTTGTTGTTGTCTAGATCCTTCAGGTACATTGATAGCTCATTTATTTTGTGCCTTTCCAATTTCTTGATTAGGCCCCAACTGCTATCAACTTTTCTCTTAACACTGCTTTGGCTGTATCCCATAAGTTTTGATGTGTTATGTTGTCAGTTTCATTTCTTTCCAGAAATTTTTTGAATTCTTTTTTGTTTCCTTCTGTGACCCACCGTGCATTCAGGAGCATGTTGTCAGTCTCCATGTGTTTGCATATGTTCTAAAGGTTCCTGAGTTCCTCATTCCCAGTGCCATTGCATTGTGGTCCATGAAGATGCATGGTACATTTTTAATTTTTTTTTTTTTTGGATTTTCTGAGACTTGCTTTATGATCTAGGCATGTGGTCTATCCTAAAGAAAATTCCATGTACTGGGGATAAAAATGTGTATTTTGTGTTTGTTGGGTGGAAGGCTGTGTAGATCTCTGCTATGTCTATTTGATCTGTATTGTTGATTAACTCTTTGGTTGCCTTGTTGATTTTCTGTTGGTTTATCTGTCTATGGCTGACAGTGGCATATTGATATCCTCCATTACTACTGTATTTGAGTCTATCTCTGCATTTAAATCCATTAGCATTTCTTTTAGATAGGCAGGTGTCCTATAATTGGGTGCATATGCATTTATAATAGTCACATCTTCCTGTTGAGAATTGGTCCCTTAATCATTATTTAGCATCCTTCTTTGTCTCTTTTGTTTTTTGTGTTAAAGTCTATTTTTTTATATTAGCATGGCTACATTAGCTCTTTTTTGGTTTCTTTTGACATGGATTATCATTTACCATTCTTTCACTTTCAGTCTGCATGCATCTTTGTGGGTAAGATTTGTTTCTTGAAGGCAGCAGATAGATGGGTTTTCTTTTTTAACCCATTCATCCAGTCTGTGTCTTTTAACTGGGGAGTTGATGCAATTTACATTCAGGGTGACTGTTGTTCAGTACCTGCTTAGTGCTGCCATGTTCTCATCAATAGTCATAATTCCAGTTTTTTGGCTTACTTTGTGATTTTACTGGGTCATTTTCTGCATTCATCTTCTTTCATAGAGTTGTTCTTGCCTCTGTGTTAATGTGTGTGTGTAGCACATCCTCAGGTATCTTTTGTTGGGATGGGCGAGTAGTTATGAATTCTTTCAGTTCAGTTTGTTGTGAAACTTCTTTATTTCTCCTTCATTCATAAATGATAACTTTGCAAGTTACTGTATTCTGGGTTGACAGTTTTTCTCTTAAGACTTTGAATATATTCTCTGCTTGCCTGTAGGGTTACTGATTAGAAGTCTGGAGTGAGTCTAATTGGATTTCCCTTAAATGTAGTTTGGTGTTTCTCTCATGCACATTTTAAGATCTTCTCTTTATGTTTTATTGTGGAGAGTTTTACCACAATGTGTCATGGTGAAGACTTTTCTGGTCATGTCTATTGAGAGTTCTGTGTATCTCCTGCACTTGGATGTCTCTCTCTTTCTCCAGATTGGGGAAGTTTTCTGTTATTATTTCATTAGGAAGGCCTTCTAATCCTTTCTTTGATTTCATGCATTCTGGAACTCCTAGGATCTGTATGTTGGGTCACTTGGTAGTATCTTGTAAATCTCTAACTGTTTTTAAGTTTCCTGATTTCTTCTTTGTTTTTATGATCTGACTGTAATATTTCAAGAGATTGGTCTTCTAGTTCTGATATCCTTTCTTCTGTCTTACTTATTCTGTTAAGGCTTTCCACTTCATTTTTTATTCTATCTATTGAATTCCTCATTTCTAGTATTTCATTCTCACTTCTCTTTAACATCTCAATTTCTTGGGAGCACTTTTTATTTAAATCATGAATTTGCTTCTGATTGCTTTAAAGTAATCTGATTAATTTTCTGAATTCTCTTTCTGACATATCCTCACTTGCTTCATCTGCAGCTTCTATTATTGAAGAGTTGTAGTGTTCCTTTGGAGGTCTCATATTGTCTTCCTTATTTGTATTTCAGGTTTTTGCTTTGTTTCTAGCATATGTGTGTATAAATATATATTACACATAAATATTTATAAATTTGGAGAATTTCTCTTGTGAGATTTCTCTGTTATATGCTGCTCTGTGTGCATTTCAAGTTGAAGCACAGAGCAGTATCTACTGAAGCCCTGTTCACCTGTCAATCGTGGTGGAGGTGGGTGTGAGCTTTGGTGCACTTAGCCCCACCTACCAAGACCCAGCTAGCTTCTCAATGATAGATTTAATGGGCTTGCGTTTCCTTGTTGCCTGACTTGCATGGTGGGGAAGAGGCTCCTCTGAGATAGTGTGGACATCACTCCTGGGTGGGAGGTGTGGTGGGATGGCTCCTACAGTTGATGCTTATGTGTTTGGTAGGCCAAGGTTTATGTTTGAGAATGTAAACATTCAAGATGGCTTCTGAGGGCCAGCTGCATGTCTGGATGGGCTGGGGGGGGGAAGGAGATGGACAGCTTAGTACCCTATTTTAATGTTTGCTTTTTTATACCTTCTCTTTTTTTCCCCCTCTTGGAACTTCAAAAGCAGTTCA